TCTGGGGAATGAGGGACATCAGCTAAAGCTCCACTGAGAAGGAAACTCTTAAGCTGAAAAATGAAGGATGAGTAGGCTTTTGCTGGAACCTGGATTGAAATAGGAAATCAAGTTTGGGAAGTAATATTATAACCTATAAGAGATGAGCTACCTGTAGTAAAGCTTTGGCAAATTGTTTGAGAATTTTTGAGGTCTTTCTCTTAAGATTACTCTAGATTTTATATCCCACAGCTTGAAAATCCAGTACCAACCCACCCCTGCACAAAGCCAGAGTTCTTGGAAGACCAGACTGGTCTGATAGATGGCAAACAAACTTTAATTCTAAAGTGAAAGTTATGTAATGCAAAGCAGAAAGCTAAGATAAATTATTATAACTGTTTACGTTGTTAGGTGTTTTAACTTTACCGCCGTACTCTGGCCTTTTAACAGTGTCACATTATCTTACCCTGATGATACCTATATAAAGGTATATTTTACTGAATAGGTACATTTTATTGAAAGTTCATGTTTAGGAAACAGTAATTCACAATTAACTTTGTAGATTTTAATAAAAGACATTAAATAATTCTTCCCCAGAAGCCTTGGTATTTTTTTCCCTAGGCATTTTCATGTGCCTATATACTTTGAAACATAGCCAACAAAAATCACTTTCTGTCATGTATGTGATCTAAATAAAATTCTGTTCATTTATTTTAATAACTGAATGGTATTACAGTTTTGACTCTGAAGCTGCTTTTTGTTTTTGTTGTTTTGAGGTCTTTTGTTTGTTTTAATGCTTTTTCTTTCTGTCAGCAAATAAATCATATGTAGGAATGCTAGACGGCACTGTGAACTCTAAGGATAATGTTTTCTTAGTTATATTAAAGCAGTATGACTAATTATTCATAACTATAGTTTTAGTCTCCTCTTAGCTCTTTTATTTGTAATGCTTATAGAATCTTTGGGATTTTAAGATAATAAAGAGGCTGATATATTTGGCCTGGAATTGAAAATGTTGAGATTCATTCCTAAGTATTGTTTTATGCTAGAGACCTCCTCCGGAAATTGATATCGCTGTTTGCTGGTTTGATTTTTCCAGGTCTCATTCAGTTTGGTTACAAGAGGAGTCTCGTTCAAACAATCCTGTCCTGTGTATTAACAGTTCTCCTAACTGCCATCATGAGACTTTTCCTCCTTTAAATACTAACCCTCGCCCCCCCGCTTTTTTTTTTTTTTTTTTTTTAGTACCTATGGCTTTAACATATGCTCACAATTCCAGTAAGAAAAGAAAAAAGAGATTTTGAATTTCATAATTTTTAAGAATATAATAGCTTTTCAGTAGTTTAAATTTGTATGCCTACAGTACCTAAACTCTACTTTTTAGTAGATATTAACATAAAACCAGAGTGGGTGGAATGGCATTAATCTATCTCATTTCCTTTGCCCAGGACAAAGTAAAATGAGAGGAGAAAGGAGCAGGCAAGCATCAAGGCATTGAGGGTGTGAATGAGTAGTCTGGGATGACCAGAGAAAATGTGTTATGTGTCAGAGGTTTCTGAACCTTGGCATGTAGCCTTGACCTAGTGATTAGGGAGTTCAGATTCTGTTTCCTCTCCAGTGACATAGAATTGCTGATAAAGCTTGCCAGAAGTAGTGTGAAACTATGCTTGAACTTCATACTAACAATATAGTTACACAAATAATTTTGTTAAAGAAGATAAAAATGCTACTGAAACATAAAATTCTCCTGAGGTAGTTTTAAATATAGAATTTGAAGCTAGAGAACTAATTACAAAGCAAGATTTTAAGTTAAGTACTTTTAAACTTCTTTTCATCATGCAAAGCTCACGAAACCTATGCACACACTTATCAGAAAAATGCACATATATGCAAATTTGCACACAATTTCAGGGAGTCACAGAACTGAAGCCCATTTATGGATCCTGCTCTAAGTCAATTTCTTCATATTTGGATAGTTTTGGTTTTTTTTTTTTTTTTTTTTTT